TATTTTGAGTAGTTTTAATTTAAATTCAATTAATAAATGTATAAATTAACATGTGTTTAAAACTACTTTTACGGATTTTATCGCGTTTATTTTTACTTTTTAATTACTTTTATTTTTAATTCCCGACGTTTCGATGAGTCATCTCAGTCCCCCGTGACCATGGGTGCTGGAAAGGCCTAAACGTCGGGAATTAAAAATAAAAGTAAATAAAAAGTAAAAATAAACGCGATAAAATCCGTAAAAGTAGTTTTAATCATGTATAGTGTTCGCGTAAATATAAGAAATCATTAACATGTGTTTTTACTTTAAGTTTTTAACACTAAATTTCACTACAGTTAGAAATTTACGGGAAATCAATATCAGGTAAGTAGGGGGTCTACCCAACACGGAAAAACATGGCAAGGGGTCTACGACACAAAAAAGTTTGGGGAACTCTGTTATAGACGAACCTATTGTGATAAAAAATGTAATTTCAGTGTCAGTACAGAATAAATAATAGGTGTCAGCCGCGTTTGCCCAAGCAAAATACCATACTACCACAATTTAAAGATTAAATTAAACTGTGATACTACATTATGCGACGAAAACAATTTAAGTGAATTAGTAGTTTTCGGTGTAGTGACGTCGTGAGAGACCCACAACCCTACATCATTCTGTGGGTGTTATAAGAGCATACATATACATAATTTCGTAAAAGTGATGCGATTTTGTGAATTAAGTGTCCTCGCGTGTGAACTTTTAGAAAAAACGACGAAGCAAGTGCTTGGATGTCGATATAAACGTCAAGTTATTTTGGTCGCTTGGGCGCCTTATGAACTTTAATGGCTGTCGTCATCAACTGTCCGCTAGGTTGAGCTGTCGTCAAAATCTTCCAAAGGCTTCGCAATGTGACGCATCAGCATATTGTGAAGAAAAAGAATATAAAATGAAGATTCCGAAATAAAGAAGGGCTAGAACCCAGAGCTGTAAAGCCAGTTAATAAAAAAATCATCATGGCGGTGGATTGTCTATGCAGTGTATAATAAGTATATAAGTATATTATATACAGGAATGTGTGGGAATGTCTATGTCAGGATCGACTAATAAAATAACAAAAAGTTACCGTTGCAAACAACTTGATCAATACAAATCTCAATGTAAAGAAAGTGAATAACAGCAAGTGTAGAAAAATAACTCTTTTCTCCTGTGTTTTCGATTGAAAACTATAACAAACATGACTTAATTAGATAGCAGCGCAAGCGTTCATATGACGACGGATGCAAACAAGATACTAAATGCATCATATTCAGATAGTGTCAAGGAGATTATAGCAGCAAATTAAAATGACATGGCTGTATTGTGTTCAGGTAATGTGAAAATCATAACGGTTATTCAGAGTTGCAAATATGAACTATGAAGTTACATTGAAAGATGTCTTGTGTGTTCCTAACCTCACAACGTACTTAATTTCCATTAGTCGACTTAGTAAAAATGGGAACAATGTGGAGTTTAAAGAGAAGTGCTGCTATGTTTACAATAGAAAAAACAATTTAGTTGCTGTGGCGAACCAAGAAGAAGGTGTTTACAAGCTGGTCATGAAACATAAACAATGTTTGTTTACATCTACTTGGAGTGTTAACAGTGAAGTATGGCATAGAATATTGGGCCATTCGAATATAAATGACCAGAATAAAATGAAGGATGGAGCAGTTACGGAAATATCATACTCAGATAAGTCAGTAATCAACAAAAGTATGTGCACAGTAAGCTGTGAAGGAAAGCAGTCATGTTTGCCATTTGGTCACTCTGGTACAAGGAGTAGTGAACCTCTGGGTGTAATACACGCTGATGTCTGCAGGCTGATGGAGACTACTTCAATTGATGGACCCAGATATTTTCTGATTTTTGTTGATGACCATTCCCATATGGCATTTGTTTATTTTTTAAAAGCAAAAAGTGAAGTATTAATGTAATTTAAGGAGTTAAAAAGTATATTTAGAGAATAAAAAAGGCAGAAAAATTAATTTATTCACGACTAATAATGGCTCAGAATTCTGTAGCAATCACTGAAAATTATTTAAAACGGGCTGGTATAGTTTTTACCAGAAATTTAATATTTATACACCGGAGTAAAATTGTATGAGTGAATGATTCAATAAAAACAATTGTTGAAAAGGTTCATTGCTTATTATTTCATGCAAGATTAGATAAAAAAATTTGGGCAGAGGCCACAAATACCGCTGTCTGTCTACCTTAAAAATAGATCTGTTTTTTTTTTTATAGAATAAGGGTGAAAATCACACAGTCCACCTGATGGCAAGTGAATGCTGTGGCCCTTATACATCAACATTTATCCTTGATTAGGAGTGAAAACATAGATGTGTTGTCACCCCTGAGGATTATGGCGGAAAGCCTCATTTCCCGTATAAATGTGTCTCCAGATCTCTACACACCCTATGAAATACAGCAGTATTAAGTTGCTATTTTACACTGGTATTCTGTGCGATCGTGGTCCTTCCCTGGTAGAGCCGACCCATTCATGCTACAACCATAATATAGCCGCAGTGTAGCTCTACCACATATCAAAAATTTTCATCCGGTTAAAATAGATAAAAAATCTAATTTTATTAACCTTAGATGAGGAACAGTAAATAGAACAATTATTGGAAAAATTTAATATGTTAAATTGTAAAGTTGCTAGTACTCCAATGGAATATAATAAGTCAGAATATTGTGATCAAGAAATTCCATATCAACGATTGATTGGAAGTTTAATGTTTTATCAGTTCTTACAAGATCTGATACTTCTTATAGTGTTCGTTTTTTAGTCAATGTAATAAGTGAAATACCATAACCCATTGTAATCATGTAAATAGAATACTTCAGTATCTTAAGAAAACTAATGCCTTGTATTAATTGAGAAACAATGTTTTGGATATACAGTTTCTGAAACATCACATAGATGTTTCCAGGAACAATGTTTCGGAAACTCTGCCATTCTCACATCAGTTGCTTAGGTCATGTAGCCCGAGGAAGTAGTGTTGTTGTGTGGTGCCTACATTTTTTTTGCATGTCTATTTCTAAAAAAGAAGTTTGTGGGTCAAGAATTACTTGCTAAGAAGATAAGACATATTAAGTAATTTTATTTTTGTAATTCTTTGTTGAGCAATCCCATAATATTCTTTTTTTTTAAACAATTCTATTAATTTAAAAACAGTTCCATCTTTGCACACTACAACCATGTTTATAAACAAATGTTTAAACATGTCCACACTTGTATTCACCTGTTGTGCTACTGATGCCAGAAAACTGAAACATGCCTTCAAACACGTAAAATTTACCGAAACAAAATATGTTCTGAAACATAATGATTTGTTTCAGAAACACATAGATTTTGTTTCCGAAACAGTGTTTATTAACACTTGTTTCTCAATGAATACATGGCTTAAGAATTTTTGCCTAAAGTATGTAAAGGAAACAGCTGGACATGTTAGATATATTTATGCCGATTGGGCAAGTAATGCTATAGATCGATGATCATATACGGTAAGTTACAGTTGCATTATTGAGCATGGAGTTGGTATATTTGGCAATAGCAGACATATGCAAAGAAGTCATTTATTTGAGATCTTTACTTTATGAACTTATTGGAAACCTTTGTACTGTAACAATGTATAATGACAGCCAAAGTGCACAGAAGTTGGTGGCAAATTATGTTTGTAATAGAATGAGTAAACACATTGATATTAGGTATCATTTCATAATAGATACAGTTAACAATAATACTATTATTTGACAATATTTGCCAATAACTGAAATGCCAGCAGATGTTCTTACTAAAGCTTTAAGTCCTGCCAGGCATAACTTATGTATTGAGGGTCTGGGGTTAGTAAGATAGAGTCAGAGAGTTAGTTTAAGTAATATGTACTACGTTTTGTAAAAATTTTTGTTTCACAAATGTATGTTGTTTCATTTATTAATAATAGTCTCTTGTGTATACACAGTAATGTGTATACACAAGAGACTATGAATAATATATCTAATGACAACACAAAATAAATAAATGTTTGCCAACTCGCTTGACCACTTGGCAACTGGGTTGGCAACAATGACAAATACCCCCTTCCTCCCCTGTGAGGCAATCTATTGGCAGTGTATATTCTGCAGTGAACTTCTGATAGGCTGTAACAGAAGGATGCAATGCATGGTCTCAGTGTTGATGAAACTTATTTTTACAGCATAAGCTGCAGAACTTGATATCTGACTGTATTGTTTAGATGAGTTACATCATAAGGGCAAATATCTTAATTGCTAACAACAAATAGCACTGTATCTATTACTGTACTATCACTACTAAGGGCAAAATTAAATGTATTCTGTATCCTTTTACAGTACTTATAACACTCCTGAACATTTTAAAGCATATGTGATTACTATTTTGATGATTTTTAATTTAATGAAGCCAAACCTACATGTTTACCCCTAAAGGTAATCTGTTTAACCTACCCTATAACATCCTATCAAAACAATTCTAACATAATTTTTAAGTGACAAAGATATACATAATAATAAATGATATTATTTTATATATAATTTGAATAATCAATTAATAAATTTGACATAATTCACCACAATACATGATATTTGGATATGTGACATTTATAATTGGCATTATTTAGGCAATGATTGACAAATAAATATTAATAATTAATTATCAAATCAATTAAATAGTATTAAAAACAACTTATGTATTGTTAATAATTCGATGAATATTGTTAGATAAGTTACTTGATTATTATTTACACACCCTTGAGGTAGAATAATATGTAGAACTAATTATACTTGAACACCACTGTACAAACAATTTCTAACAAATATAATAATAATTATTACTATTATAAGAAATAGTAATGAATAAATGAATTACTAAAAACTAAATCAAAACTTACTTCTTATTTGTGTTTTCTAAAACAGTAGCATTAATCATACAGAGATCACCTGTAAGATAGAAGTTCATTAAGCTAACCTAGTAGAACAGTAACTTCTCTTTGATAAAGTCTCACCAGGCCCCTAAGCAACTGGGAACTTAAACGCAGAGAAACTCTTTTTGCCGGCTGACTGGACTCATTTGTCGTAACTTCTAGTAAATCATCACTGAAAGCATAATCATAGTTCATATTATTTAAATTGACGATAGATGAAACAAGTACAAGAATATAATTAAATATTTTGTACAGCCGACTTCAATATAAATAAAATGATAACATAATCAATGTAGTCGAAGTTGATTAAATACGTATTATTAAAGTTTACTCAAAAACTACTGGTCATATTTTGATCAAGTTTATATGGGACCATATGAGAATCACCAGCCTCTGTAGAATCATCAAAATCGGTTCACCTAGAAAAAGTTCTGAATAAAACATATATCGCATATAAAGTCCGCTGAAAAGTTAAAAAATAATGTAAAAATTATCTCACCATATTTTTCGAATATCCTGAGAGTACAACTGCCTGTGAGTAATAGTTGCAAATCGCAGCGGCCACGTATCTGCCAAACAACATAAATAAAACTTCCCTCCCTGCTTTATAGAATCAACAGGATAAGACATTGAGAAAATTTTAAACCGACCTTAGCAAGTCTTTTTTAACACTTTCCCGCTAAGAGAATAAAATATATTGGTACTTTGTATGTTCCCCGCCAATAATGATTTTTGACGTTTATTATTTCTAGTCAACTAGTCATAGGCCTTAAGATTGTACAGCCACTTGAATGTCAAATGGAATTGGTGGAGAAAGAGAATTCTCCTTAGGAGGTATACAAGCGTCGTTCTGTTTTTGGCTATTTGGTGTTTGTGTGTAATATCTGTTGATTTACTTTTTTTGTTTATTCTTTGTTGGTGTTGGTTTTAGTAACTATAAATTCGTAAGTATTTAGTAATTGTGTTGTTTTATATGTAATATGGAGTGTAGAGGTAAGGAGTACAGACTGTATAAAAAAGTGTCCGTTGGAAAACGCTAAATAAGGGTGGCGCCACTGTAGCTACAATCCAAATTTTAAAGAACTCTTTATATTTTTTTACTGGACAGACTCACCAAATTTTTTTACAATAAATATTTTATTGCTTTCGAAGTTTTATTTTCAAAATCACTCTCAACGCTATTCCACGGCGATTTATTATACCCCGTAGCTACTCGAGCGCTGCTGTGGAGAGATTTTGAACTGTTATTTACTGCTTACAGATTAAGGGGATATACTACCTCTTCCCCCCGGACCTCTGAGGTGTTCAGACGTATCTTGTACAAAAATTTGTTTAAAATTATTTTCCAAAAAAATTACTTTAAATATTGCGCATTTATTCGAGTGCAAAAAATAGGAGTGCATGAACGCGAGGAGGTGATACGTGATATCAGTGACTGTTCCTGGTACGCGGCGAGTGCATCCGCTACGCTGACTCAAAGCTGCGACCCGCCGCGCAAGCGCCGCCCACCACAGCTTGCTGCCCGCCCCGGGGGGCATAGCACCGCTTGACCAATACGCTCCGCTTACCCCGTCAACTTGTTGCGTTGAAGTCGGTAAGAAGCCTTGCCCTCTAGTTATTCATATCCCGTACACTTCTGTTGCTCTGGTATAATATGACTGAGCGGCGTAGCGAACAGATGGACCTAGAAATGTCGCTGTGCGTCTTGGAAGATGAAAAAACTTCACCAAATTTGGTTACACAACATACACAACAAAGACATATTCATAACTAGGATAAAATAAGACAGGATCAATTTATGGACCTAAAAGCAGAAATGGCTAAACTAATGGCAATCACAAGTAAACAAGCAAAAGATATCAATGACCTCACTTCGACACTTAAAGAGGTTCGCCTGTCAAAACAAAATATTAAGAGCTCGCTTACATTATTAACTGCTCAAAATGAAGAGTTCAAAAAATAAATTGTAGCTCTGCAAAATCATGCAAAGGAAAACAGGAATTATATAATGCAATTAGAAAACAAACTGCAAATCTCCACCCGCAAAACATCATTCGAGCTGAAAAATTTTCTAGTCCTAGGAAAGAAAATGAATCGAAGCAAGATCTAATTGACATGACTATACGTCTTTCAGAAACCATAGATTGTAAAATTAACAAGGGCGACATTAAAGATATTAACAGGTTGCGTGGAAAAAAGCCAGACCAAAAAAAAAACACACCCATAATTCTAGAAACAAACTCTGCATTGTTAGAAACAGATTTTATGAGGATGACGAAGGCATTCAACATTCGGAACAAAACTAAAATTTGTGCTAAGCATCTAGTCTTTAAAACTAATGAAGACACCCCTGTCTTCCTCTCTGAGCACCTGAATGCTGGAGGATCGCGTCTATTCTTTTTAACGAGAGACTTCAAAATCAAAAGGCTATAAGTACTGCTGGACCGCTTATGGTAAGATATACGTGCGAAAATATGAACTTTCTCCTATTATCTTGGTTAGAGCCGAAGAGCAAGTACACCAGCTACTAAAGGAAAAGTGACTAGCTTTGCATATCCTAGGTCTGTTGTTTCGTCTTTTTTATCTCATGCTCGCTTTTATTGCGCAATTATTGTTTGATTTACTTTTGTTGGCTATACGATTGTATAATACTTTTTCACTATATCTGTTATACGCGTGCAACACACGTAAACACACTACTTTGTACTTACACAAATATGTTTTATACATACACTCACACACGCAATACCTTACCCAATTAATTACACTATGCCCTAGCAAACACTCTTTACAGATACTAACACGTATCACATTAATGAGAGATAAACCTCTTAAATCAACATACATATGTAACAAAAAAGAAAATTCAACCGTAAACTTTACAAAGTATACATATTATTATTATAATAGGTCACCTGCAATCACATACTTGACGCTTTGCGAATTGACGTATTTTCTCCTATTTTTTCTTTTCACATGAATAATACAATGACCACACTTCAAGAAATAGACAGAATAGAGCTGGCACGGTCTAGTGAATGCGACGTGGAGGAGTTTATTAAGCGTGTGAATGTAAAAAAAGAATGACTTTACTATGATATCACAAAATATAAGGAGTATATATTGTAACATTGATGATTTTGTACTGACTTTGTCTAGCTTTAACTTCAATACTGATGTTATTGTACTGACGGAGTGCAGACTTAATTCTAACAAACCTCTACCTGTTCTGCCCAACTATTGCTCCTATTTTACTGAGTCTAGGCTGAACCAAAACGATGGTGTCGTGTAAAGAATGCTTTAAAACACAAAATTAAGGAAATATATTTGCATCATGCATCATGTTTACAGCTCGACATCCTAAATAATATAATTTTATGTATATATAGATCACCATCAATTAAAAATTCTGATAGTTTTATAAATTCATTGAACTTCACTTAAGTTCTATAAAGTCACTTCATAATATTTTTATTACAGGCGATATTAATATTAACATTGCTCTCAAGCCCATAGAACTACCCCAAGAACAGAAAAATCGACTAAATTACTTAAACATGTTATCTGAGCACGGTATACTGGCCGGCCACACTATCCCTACAAGAAAACAGAACTGCCTAGACCATATTATGTTAAATATAAATAAACTCAAAGTACAGGCATCTATTTTTGTATTACACACGACCACCACTGACCATTTTGCAACTTTCCTCATACTCTCAAAAATCAAACCTAAGCTTTCTGTACCTGAATCAAAAATATCCACTGACTTTAACAAAGTTCTCGGTCACCTTAAAAATCAAAACTTAGATAAACTGCTACAATGCGATGACCCTGAGTTAATAACTAATCATTTGATTTATGCACTTACCAACTCACTAAAAGAACATACCGTTACCATAACTATTTCTAGAAAAAATCGTATCCTAAAACCTTGGATCACACCAGGTATTTTGCGCTGCATAAGAAACTGTAATAAGCTTCAAAAACAAGCACGTAATGAGCCTTACAATAACGAAATCACAATCACATACCGGCGGTATAGAAATTACTGTAACAATCTTATTAAAAAGTTAAAAAGAGACTATGAGAGAGAGTTGTTGGCTAAATCAGTCAAAAATAACAAACAATTACGGAAAAATATCAAAACTATTACTCACACTAATAAACTCAAGACTTTAAATATAGAACTTCTTAATGTTTCTGATAACCCGATAGCCTCTGCAAACTCTGTAAATAATTATTTTTCTAATATTGGTGAACAGCTTGCAGAACATATTGAATATGTGGAAAGCGACTCTACCTCCAAAATCTGACAACACATCCAAACTCCTTTGTATTTCTGCACACTGATCATTATGAAGTTAACAACATTTTGATGAACCTAAAATCTAAAAGTTCTCCAGGCTGGGATAATATCCCGACTGCTTTTCTTAAACATGCAAAATAAGTAATCGTTCCCATTATAACTCACCTAGCAAACCTGTCCTTTGATAAAGGAATATTCCCACCTCCCCTGAAGCAGTCGATAATTACTCCGGTTTACAAGACTAGGGATAGAGATGACGTAAGCAACTATAGGCATATATCGGTGCTGCCTGCGATATCCAAAATACTCGAAAGACTTATAAATGTAATATTAAACGCCTACTTACAAAAATATGAGATCTTGTCTGCTTCCCAGTTTGGTTTCGGACAGGGAAAGTCCACCGAAGATGCAGTCTCTGAATTGAGCTCATTGGTAGTAGAGGAAATGGATAAACATAATAAATGCATAGCAGTATTCTTGGATTTGAAGAAAGCGTTTGATATGGTCTCTATCCCCATTCTTGTACATAAGCTGGGAAGAGATGGTATCAGGGGTGTTCCACTAAAATTACTCACGGAATACCTTGCAAACAGGAGGCAGAAAGTAAAACTAGAAAATTATACTAGTGATTGCACTAATGTGTCGTTTGGTGTCCCGCAAGGAAGTGTTCTTGGCCCCACGTTATTCTTAATTTATCTGAATGATTTATGTAACATGAGCTGACACTGCCGTTGTTTTCACCGGAGGATCCTGGGACATTGCTAAAAATAATGCAGAAAAAGGTTTTGAGCAAATAGGTAAATGGCAGCAATTTAATCTCTTTATGCTCAATATGGTCAAAAATTGCTATATATGCTTTAACATTTATAACAACGCTCAGCCAGAACTTGATTTTGCGGTGAGAGTACATCACTGCCGTATCACAAAAGATAGACAGAACTGCCATTGCTCCACTATACAAAAAGTAACCGAAGCTAAATATTTGGGAGTGTGGCTGGATCAAAGACTCTCTTAGTATCCTCAACTTGAACATGTCACTCAGAGAATAAGGAATATCACATGGATTCTTAAGACATTGAGACATGTGGTACCTAAGACAGATTTAGAAACGGGGATTGGGGACAGGTGTCTTCTAAGAGAAATATACATATCCTTAGTACAGTCTGTTCTTGCTCACTGTTTGCCTGTATGGGGAGGTGCAGCCAAAACGCGCTTTCTTGAGGCGGAACGTGGTTTGATAAAGGTTATGTATTTTAAAAAACAAATTTTTTCAACTGATATATTTTATGAAACTACCCGAATTCTTTCAATTAGAAAGCTT